TGGAAGAAACAGCTTTCGGCTGGTTCACTGTCACAACCTGTAAGTATGCTTTATACTATGATTATTCTTCTCAGGATCTTCATTCAGGAAATGTGCTTAGGGTTTTTATCAAACCTTGATGTGAAGTAAGTCATGCGTTGTGTTGGTGTCGTGACTATAGTCGTATAGTGGTAGATGCAATTTTTTGATGTTTGGAGAAAAAAAGTGTACCTACCTATTATAAAATCTATCTGTTAGCCAAATTATTATCGAGCCAGACGAATTTATGTATCGTTGCTTCGCATATTTTATGTTTTAAACCTGAAATTCATGAATCATAATTTACGATGAAAACGAGATCAGCATTTTTGAAATTTATCAAAAGCTTCAACAATTTTGATTATTTGCAAATTTTGCTGTTTTAAGCGTCTGAATTGTTGTAAGCTACTTTCGCAAAGAAAAGTTATTCCTTTTGTATACCGTTCGTGGTTCGCGATCGATGCGCAATCGAAGCGCTAGGAAGCACAGTCATTGCCTGCTGAACGTTGATAAATCATCATAAGAGGTAGTGCTATATTTCTAGCTAATTTTTCCCCCGTTTTCAGACAACGGTACAAATGCGGAAGGAACCAGTTGGTAGGGAGAGTAGACCGCAATCCATAACCCGAGGCGACAAGTATGTTTTGATTTTTTAAAATTATTTAGTTTTTATGGGAGTGTGGTGTGAGATCTATCTTTGTTTTTTTACCTTTATGTCTCCTTCATTTATTCCAATGTGTGTAGATGTCTGTTTTGCGGTGATTGGGATTTGTGTTGGGAGATTTTTCACCGTACATTCTTGCCTCGATTTTTGGGATCAATCTAACATGGTCTCGCCGAAACCTCGGGAGCGATTTACTTTTGCTTTTGCTTCAAATTTTGCTTTCAAAGCTTCGTTTTCTCATTGCGCGATTGCCTATGTTATGTAATATTCTCTCTTTTAAGCTTTATTGTCTCGCGCATGCTCTGTTTTGACACACTATGCTATCCGAATAGTTTCTAGTGACGAAGTAACCACCACGCCGTCCCCACCATCGAGTATCGCATCGTTTTCGCGTGGCGTGAATTTCATGCGTCGTAGCTGGCGAAGACTTGCGGGTGGTGAACAGCAGCGACGAGATTCAGTAGATGTGCCAGTTTACCATTCGTTGGATGACACAGTAACAGTTTGCGATGGCTCGTATCCGATGTCATCAGCGGAATGCGTATGCATCACCGTTGACGACTCGGCGATCCAGAAGCCGGTACGACGAGTGGCGACAATACCAATACGCCAACGGACGTCAGCACACCTTAAGCCGAGGTGGGTGGTCCCGAGACACAGTCAGTTTGTGCAGGAAGATGCAAACGCGGATGCGCATTGCACACAATCGCTATTTTCTGGTAGAGGCAACCTTGCCAGCCACAGCTCAGCCTTTTCACCACTTCTAATTGCACGATTTGCACCTGCGCCATTTTCTTCTTGCTGATCCCTCCCTCGCTACTACTCTGCAGAGACGCTGCTGCTGCTGGTGTTTGCTGCTTCTTTTCATTTTTCCGTCTC